ATCAACATAACATATCTAATTCATCATGTACCCGAAAAAGAAACTTGGATGTTCATAGCCTTCAAATCATTGTTTACTATCAAATGAAAGTCTCACCAATAACAAAAACGTATAACTCAACTATCTTCCAGCCCACTAATGCAGATTCGAGTTCCAGTATCTAATACCTTGAGTCGAATGGTGGACATGTACGTATCTCATATGAGCAAAGGTTCTGGTAAGAAGCACAAAGAGAAATAAAGTAGAATAGAATGGCCAAAGGGCGGGCAGTTAATCTTCTTCTTGGAAATTATGCTTTCTGGTATGAATATAAAATTAAAAAGTTCACCTAAATATGCATGAGAATAATATGCAAGCTTGGGTACTGCCGGCTCGAAAAGGAAACTTTTTTGACTTCTGTAGCATATTGGTTTCAACTTACAATATAGATATTAAATGGCAAAAATAGCGTACACATGAAGTTGTACGGGCAAGTAATTGCTTTCCAGAATTCATGTGTACAAAAATGCCTTTCATAAATAATGTACACAAGAAGTTGTAAGGTCAAGTAATGCTTTTTTCATGTGGATATCTTGAACAGAAGCTTAAGTCTCCTACATAACCTATTAAAATTGTTCCAAAGGAAGCTCCAAGATGAGCTTTCATTTGACAATTGCAAGTTAGCAATTTCCATAAAAAATTTATAGCCTTCTAATGTCCACATCAGTTGTTTCCTTGATAAGACCTCTCTTTGTCATCTCATCCTGCAATTGTGAAATACTAATCGTGTCATTCTGCACAGTGTATCCTCTAACTAGGATATCATAAATTACATATCAGGAGTTATTCCTTTCTCCAACATGTCAGTAAAGACTTGCATTGCTTCAATCATGGGGCCTTTATTTGTCAACCCAAAAATCAAAGAGCTATATGTCAACAAATCAGGAGTAATGCCCTCTTTAACCATCTTGTTCTTGAGCCTGAAAGCTTCAACCAAATCCCTCTGCTTGCATAGCCCTGCAATCCAAGAGGTATAAATGTACTTGTCAGGAACAATTCCTGCCTCTGCCATATCCTTGCAAAGCATCTGAACTTGACTAAATTCTCCTTCTTTGCACATGCCATCAATAAGAGCACTGTATACAACTTCATTAGCTTTACTTTTGCTGAAATGTCCCTTCACCTCATTCAGATGCCCATCCTTGCAGAGGCCATCTATCAATGTTGTTAGAGTCACAACGTCAGGTTCAAACCCCTGTGATAACGATTCCTTGTACTCATCTAGTGCTGCTTTCAAATTTCCAGCCTTAAAATATGCACGCGCAAGTGTAGCAAATATCATATTATCTGGTGACAAGCTGTTCACCATATGATCCTCAACCTCAACTGCAATTTCCAGTTTATTTGCAGCACAAAGCCTTGATATAAGAGCCCCATAAGTCACTATATCAAGTCCAATGCCCCTAGCAAGCATCTCAGATAAATACTCAAGCGCCCAATCCACATTGCCTCTCTTAAAATGCCCATCAATAATCAAAGTATAAACAACAGAATTAGGTAACGCCCATCTTTCAACATTTTCCTAAATAACCGCTCAGCCCTCTGCAACATGCCCTGCTTGCAGAACCCGTTAATAAAAGCCACATAAGTAACCACATTCGGCAAGACTCAACACGCGTGCATATCCTTGTACAAATTAATTGCCACTTCTAAATCACCAACCCTACAATACGCATCAATCAAGGAAGTAAAGATAAGCAAATTGGGCAAACCCCACCTTTTCTCATGTCCCTGAACACCCTCAAACCAATATCCAAATCACCCATCTTACAATACACATCAATCAAATTACAGCAACATCATTCGGCATGCAAACTTTCCACATCAAACTCATGTAAGAACCTCTTTTACCATTCCATCCTTACAAAACCTTCTAAACAGCACATTATAAGATAATTATCGACAGGCGTCAAGACTATTTATGGTAGCTCCGTGAAAATTAAGATGAAGTGATTAAAGACAATAATTCTGAACATCTAATCACATTGATTGAAAAGTTATCAGAAAGGAATAATTTTTCCCCACATATTGAAATCAGAATTAAACTTGTGGGAGCAAAATTCATAATGTTCAATTCAAAATGCTATACATATTTTTGGAGATTCCTACACCATGTAATACATCGTGTAATTGTCAGAGAAGGATGTATATTTACATATATGATCATTTAAATCGTGTAATTTCTCTATTCTAGTATACACTGTCTAAGGCTAATGTCATGGTTCCTCAATTAATTCATAGTAAACCATCTTGAGAAAATATTCATAATGATTCTATCTCTTTAAACTTGTGGGAACACCATATAAAACCAATGATGCTCCAGTAAAAAAAGGGAATAGACAAGCTTCTCGAGCTTGACTCATGAATGATCCAGTCCTCCGTCTGTGATTGCATTGACTCCCGGGCTCATATTTGATTGCATCACATATATCACAAGTCAAATCATTTGCTATCTCTTGAAACCAACCCGCACATAAGGCCTTACCAAATCTATCAACATCAGTGCTTACACTCCATAGACTAGCCACTATGTTAGGAGAACCTGCCGATAGAAACAAAATAGGAGCACCTTCTGGGGCGTAAAGCCCTTTCAGTTTCAGTACACCACTTTCGCATCCCAAAAGTACTGAAGCAGCACAACCATTGAGTTCTCGAATCTTATCCTCGAGGTCAATGTTCAACCCTGAAATGGCAAGGTAAAGATGAAATCGGGTTTGACGATTCTCTGGAAATACAAAATAAAAAACAGAATGCATGCCTGGCTATGCTTTACTTAAATAACTTTGTGAAACTTGATTTCCGAAGTAACATTTTTTTTTGGGGACAAATCTTGCTTTTCTCTAAACTTGCATTCACAAATGTAACTTTTAAGCACAATCAAACATGTTCTAGTTGCTTACCGTCTCCATGGCCCGAGTAAACATAGAGGTCGTGGCTTTTCAAGGCTACGATCCGCTTATGGTTTGGGGTCAAATATTTATACGCTCCCTGCACGGAAAAATCAAATGAAAAAACTTCAATCTTGGCAAATCTTTATTTTTCTCATAAGTATGAGAAATAAAGATTAAGATTACCTTACAATTCTCTTCTTGCAACCATTTCTCAAATTTAACCTGGCAAATTTCACCGCAATCATTGCCCGGATTTATTTCATAATATAGGTTGCGAGGATTTATCGACGGAAAGGGTACAGAATTTGTCGAAAACTGCGCTTGGTCTTGGCAACACGTGTGAATTGTTGCAAGAATGCTTCCAACAGATGGCATACGATAAACCTCTTCGTTTTTCAATATCGGCAGATTCTCCCATGGAAATAACTACAGAAAATTATCAATCTTACGTAAATAACCTTTAATAAAGCATAAGACTACATGATCAGCAAGATACGAATCAATCAAAGAAATTATCAATTATATTATATAAATTACTGTAATGAAAAGAAAAGCATCACCTGTAGATTCATTTCTCCGATTTTCAAATAGAAAAATTCCAATTAATTGGTTAAATAGAAACTCTAAAAGCTTACAAAAACATTAAAAGCATAACAGAAAATAACAAAAAAAAATACATGAAAGTAATAAACCACGGGTGTGTACCTGAACCTCGGAATCCAAGACTAGAATGATAGGACTTCTTTTTAGGCAATCAATCTCATCGTGATCACATGTTTTGAACACAGAACTCAATAGGGATGCTGATACTTTCGGCTTTATGCCAACATAACATCGTTTCGTCAAGATATTCCGTAAATATCTCTCGTCTTCGGACAGATACTCTTTCCTGAATATGTGTTCAGAACTTGGCCACTGCCCCAACAAGACATGTTTCCAAGCGCCAAACCAAAAAGCTTCCATATTTCTAATACATAAAGACACATTGGCATAAAATTAATTGAATAAAAAAAAAAACAATCCATCATTTTAATGCTAGTAAATTCGCTGATACCACGATACAAATGTAAAGTGGTCCATGAATGAATATATTAAAATCCATCTAAAGAACTTACATTAACAATTGACGGATTCTGTTATCAACTGTATACAATTTGGAAATCCTCGAATGCCCGGACTCTTTGTTTTCAATATTTGGGCCATTGTCAAAGCAATCCAGTCCAATCTCCATAATCTCTCTGAACATTGGAGCTATGTCATCTACAACAGTGGAACCCCAAGGTGGCATCCAGCTATTAACAAAACTACCTGATATGGAACCTGCGTCGTGTGTAACGTAAAAGAACAAAAGAATCAGACTTTACCATATTTTCAGAGAATGCGTGATGTTACAAATCCCACTGTTTCTGAATTAAAGTACCTTCCAATGTTTTATCCAGTGGCAGAAGTATAATATATTGATTATCTAAATTCAAATTGGATACTAGAATCCATGTTTTGACGACAGAAGAACAATACAATCTCATCATATCAGCATCAGCACCAACAATAAAGCTAATGCAGATAACTGATGCACAAGGAAGGTCCTGAGAAAATCTCGAAACAAATTCTTCTAGATTTTCATATGTCTCTGGTGCAAGCCTGGAACATGCAAAGAGGGGTTATAGTTTTAATGAATTTAATAATTAAGAGATGGTAAGATTCATTCTATATTATCAGTCTATCAAACCTGAGTGAGTTCTGCGTCTCCGAGACAGTGGGAAGTGGATTTGGAAGCAACGACTTCTGAAGAGGAAAAATCATAAATTAATATTGCAGTCAGCATAAGGTAACAAGAAAAATGCAACAACAATGATTTAACATGCGCTTCCTTCAAGTTCATGAATAAGAAAATGTCATAAAGAGAACAATTTTTGAAGATCGCATACCTCAGAATATTTACCATCTTGTCTATTTGTGTTCTGCATCAAATTATAGAAGAGTTATTGGTTTAGTTGAGTACCAATAGAAGCTTGGTGAAAGTAAGCTGCCCATTTACTCTCTGAAACTTTGCTTGGAGGTAAAGAAATAGACTGGATTGATGTTGAAAGTATATAGAGAATGGCAAGAAACCTGGAAATCTGTTGCATCATCATTGATAAGGAAATTATCACCCAAACAAAAAATAGAGGAGGAAGAGGACTAGATTTCTTAACACTGTCCACATTGAATTTCAAAAACTGGAGGCAGTCAAATGACATTTATGAGAAATTGCCTTAATCCGTTTCTTTGACGCAGATATCTTTGCATATCAGAAAATGTTCGAGCATGTTCGAAATGTGGAGGTAGCGGTAGCGGTGGAGATGGAGGGCATTGAGGCTATGTTTTCCAAAAAGTGACTTTCATTCCCAATGAATCAACATAATGGGTGAACCAGACATGTTAAGCCCCTATTTGATGCCTACTAATTTTATTTTATTTTTGGGAAAATGAGTTATGGAATAGTGATTTTTTGGATAATGTGTGGTTGAAAGGCAAGAAAAATTTTTAGATTTACGTGCAAAATATTTTATTTTGAAAATGTGTGGTTGAAAATGAGTTTTTTTTTTTTTTAAAGAGTTTTTGGAGAATGATAGACAAACAAGAGCTAAATGAGTTAAATGCCAGTGAACAAAACTTCAAAGTGTTCAAGAGTGTATTTGGGGAATAATATAATTATAAATTTATGAAAATAAGCAGACTAAGATGTGTTCATCCTGGCCTTCACACTTGCCTTCCTTGTACAAAGGCTGGAGCATATGGAAGCCAATTTTCATAATTCATCATATTAAATTTAATAAATAAAAAAAATCACTGAGTAAAGGTGAGACATCTCTCTCCTTACAATAACACTTAAATAAGAGCAATGGGAGAAAAACCACGGTCTGACCTTTTGAAAAGGTATGGAAACCTCACGACAAATTATAAATGCCGACTTCAGTAGAGAAACGACTTTTGAAGTCTCAATACGTGAAATCTCACAACAATCTTCTCTGCTTTACAAGAACAGTGCATTAAAATAATAATTTATATTATTGATAACATGGAAATCAAAAATATCTTTATTATATACCTGGTCTGAGTATTAAAAGAGAATCTGCATATATAATACAGCAGATCGGCTCGTTCAACAGCTAACACGTCCCCAGGAAAATTGATTCCAATCAAATTTGTAAACAAAGCATTGGTCGGAGAAGTTTGATGGGAACATGATGAACTATTGCTGAACAAAATTGATATACTTCGAAGAAAAAGTTGATGTGCCAAATGATTTTTACCATACAAGCCATACAAATTTCCTGCATAATAAATACATTTAAATATTAAAGAAAAGGGAATGGTATGATTCAATATATTGACTGTTAACATCTCAGAAAACAATCTTCACAAGCTCTGCAGTGTGCATACATTATTTAGCCCCTGTTTGGCCCATTTATTTTTCTCTATATTCTTACCAATCATACATTCTCCAATGAATAATATTACAGGTAATCTCGAAACTTTTTCTTCCTTTTTAATCACACATTTTCAAAAAAACACTATTCCAACAATTAAGATTTCAAATAATGGGGGCCAAACAGGGGCTTACTAAAAATGGATAACCAAATACAAAGTGTAAATTCATAATCAAAGCAGGAGACTATGCTAGAAGAAGGGTAAAGTTGTAATTAATGAAAACGTAAACAATTGTATATTACCAATTTTTCACAATATCTTATATGGTAAAACTTGTCATTGAATGCACAATTCCACATATTCACATACTAGTGAGTACTAACGGATTAAATTTGATAAGCTAAATAGAAAAACATGGATGGTAAAAAATGAAAATAGTAGAATATCATCTTACCCATGCTAATCAGTAGCTTTAGAGAAAACTTTCTTTGGACAAGATCCCAATTCATGCATATAAAGTTCCTTAAAGAACCAGATTTAACAAATTCAAGATGAAGACACTCCCAACATATCATCTGGTCACAAAGGCGATGAACTTGATTGGTCTCAAAACCAGTCAATACAAGATCATGCCGTAATTTCTTGTTAGTTTCTTTTGCACAATCATCAAATGATAGTGCCCCAACATTTTCAGGATTAGGGTAAGAATGCCTCCACTCAGAAGAATTTAACTTTTCTAATGCCAACATGTAGAAATGCTTAGCACGAGATAATTCATTGATAATTGACCTTTCGACATTTCTGGAAGATTTACATAAAAGTAAATCTCCCAATTCCTGATTAATGGTCACTTCCAGTGAATTTGCACATTTCGTGCAAGTAATAATTGCGCGATTATCATCCAATATTTTCTTTGCTTTGCAAAGCTCCCTTTTGGCCCGGCTCCAACAAAACATTTTGCCGTATAGTCTTCCTGATAACGTTTTAAAATAGGAAGTTAATATCTTTTGTTAAATTGTGAAGTAAGGGAAAAGAATAAAACAACCAACCTAACATGGAAGAAAAATAAATTTCAAAAAGTGCCAAGCCCTGAAATTGGGAGATGCTCTTCCCCCACTGTAAAGAACATATAGCTGCCTGCGCATTTCCTATATTCTCTTGTATGCTTGCAACCTGTGATTCACAAATCATTGAGATAAAATAATGATATATATCAGAAACATTATTTCATATAAAGCTTTAACCAGAATATTTGAATTAAAGAATTCAATACCTGAAAGACGCTTTCAAGATAAGAGCTAAGTACATTCCAAGGAGTAATAATGCAGTCAAATTCCCAAGAAATGCCGTATCCCAGCCACTTACCAGTCGTTACTGGATAAGAAATCTCTAACTTCTTAATAATCATGTATTGCTGAGACATTTTCACTCCATTTTCTTCATAAAACTCTTCCCTTCTCATGCTCGAGTAAAGAAATTTTGTAGCCAAAAGCTTCTTTCGTAACCTCAGGGCTGCTTTTGCATGTTGAAGAGCCTATAAAATATGAATGACTGTGTTAAAGAAGTTTTACTGACTAATAAAGAAAACAGGTCTAAAAGCAATGGATTTTGTTAGGGAGCAATCCCTTTCCCAAAAACATAAATCATTCTTAATGTTTGGAAATTTTTGCATTCTTCTTCAAAAGCAATCCCTTTCAGAAAATGTAGAAGAGAAGTTCAGTACCTATTTGTACACGGGAACAAAGTAGATTAAGTTGTTATAGAAGTATATGAAATCAATTTTATCTAAACTTGATGCTAATATTTAATGCAGTAGAAAAGAAAGAGATAAGCATAAGTTAAGGTTAGAGTTAATGAGCACTCCAAAATAGAATTAATCAAAGTAGGAGACGCCATTGTCTTGAATGTAATTGCACTAATTAATCAAGTAAATAAGCGAACGAAAACAACGTACTTTGGCATTTAGTTATTTAAGACCTATTAATTCCACATATTAATATATGGTGGTGATTTTGAGTCCAAATCCCAACACCCATAACCTTCGCAAGACGTTTACTTTACGCCCCCTTCTTTTTTATATTGATGAAATTGCATTCTACATGCACAGACTAGACTATGAACAAAGCATTTATGGAAGCAATGTATCTTTGAAATTACCTCAATCAATTTTCCAGTTGAAACCAGACTTTCAGACAAGCTATAGTAAAGATAGGATGAACGAAACTTAAACTCATCAACTTCAGGATCCTACCAAAAGGAAATATAAAGACGTTGATTAGTATAAATATGCCTACTCTTACAGTCTAAAATGGAGAAAATATTAGAACTTACATCGAAAATCATACTAAGAGCAGTTTGTTTAATCTGATCGTCCATGCAATTAAACCCATTTACTCGTATCTCCCATTCCATCATATATTTCTGTAAATGAACAGACTCAAAAAGTTCGCCATAGTGCTTACAAAAACTTCTTATAAGCACTTCATGTATGGGTGAAGCACATAGAGAGTGATTAAGCCTTCTATTTTTCCACAGTATAGCCATCTTCTCTAGAGGAATGTTTTTATATTTATATAATTGGATTGCCACATCACACAATCTAGTTTCCAAATAGCCCTGGAATAAAGCAAAAAGTATGTAAAGGATCTTCAATCCAATTACTAATATCAAAAACGTAAATATTCAAAATTACCTTAGCTGATAAAATATCAAAAATAAGACATAACAAATGTAGTACATCATCCCACGTCTTATTGGACTTATCATCTGCATGGCAATAATGCGGCAAGTCTTCAACTGCATTCAACATACTTTCATACANAAGATACAAGCTTTAGCTAGTAGGAGATTAACTTGTGAACTGCAGCTATTACTTTTTCCTTTGATAGCTTTCTGTTTATTAAAATATTTTATGTTAATACAAATGTCAAAATAACACCCACCATTAAATGTGAGTATAGATACAAGAAACCAAAGCAAAATGATTGTATATGTGACTCACCAATGTAGAAATTGCTCTGAACATGCACCAAACAGATTGATCTAGCTCACCATTAGCTCTTAGCTTCCTTCCCCTTTCTATCTGAATTATAGATTCCTTTAGGTCCTTATTATAAATGGAACTCATCTCGTGCCACTTGTATATTTCTAATTCCTTAGGCCCTCAAAACTGAACAAATGCAAGCAAAGGTGATAGTTTGACTTAGTGGCTGCTGAATTGAGAACAAAAATGCGAACAGACGAAATTGCGAATAAAACAAAAACGTTCGCTTCTATATTATATGTTGTCACCGTAATTATTTTTGGTAATCAAATGCAATAAAATTTTCGTAATCATTATTTTTGGTAATCAAATACAATAAAATTTTCTTAGTGTACAATTAGCATTATTGTTTTTTCTTAGCCCTTTTAGAATTTATTTCGCTTTACCAAATTAATTGGTACTTCGGGTATGATGTAGATTTGGTCAAAGTTCGACTTTATGATCAAATATAAAATCAGTTGTATGAGTTGCAGGATGGAGGGCTAATTGAAAGGTTTCCTTTATTTATTCCAATATTTTAATGTATTTTTATTTCAATATATAAGTTTGCGTATTGTCATACTTTTAACGTCAGACTCGATGTTTGCTACCATGGGCGGACCTAGGGGTCATGGGGCCAAGTGCCCCCCTAACTTTTGCGATTTTTTTTATGTATATAAAATCGTGTTTGGTATCGATTGAAATCTAAATCAAAGTTAACAATTAATTTTAATAACATATTTCATGGAATCCATAACTATTTAACTTTTATCAAAATTTACTAAAAAATGATTTTAATCTCCACCAAATAGGGGCAAAATTACAATAAATTTG